CTCGTACGTTTACCGTCGATTCGTCCTGTGAACATTAGTTGTTCGAGGTTGTGCCCTTCAAATTATATACATACATACTTAGAATAATAACGCATAGAATGATAGTTTCATATCAAACGAACTGTCACAAGTGAGGCAAAAATCAAATTCATGTAGGCTAGTTTTAGTAGTACGTTAATTTTCAGTTTTAGTGAATATTTATATAAAAACACACGTTGAAACGCGTTACTTCCTTGTGGAATGTGATGTTAGTATCTATTTTATGTTTGTCTGACGTATTTTTACACTCATTTACCGCACATTTGTCATTTTAGCTAAAATTCTTGATCTGTTCGCGGTGCAAGTTGACCTTGAGCACTGAAGCCCGCCCGCTCGTGTAGGCCCATTGGGCGCGCTTCAATTTGCCTCACTTAGCGTGTGCGGGCTAGGTTTCTATGCGTTATTATTCTAAGTATACAATCCATTTTTTTTATTTCAGTAACTTTGAGCTCTTAGATACGAGCTTGAGAAAGTAAGGCGACGATAACCGTTTTGTACAAAACTATATTTTATGTTGTTGGTATAACTATAAATACGGTGTCTGTCATTTCCATCGTCAGAACTGCTTTAAGTTACCATAATGTACATTAGAAATAATCTTTCTTCATTTGGCACTGTAAATGTTTCTGCCATCCCACTCCGCGGTACCGGTCATTTGAGACCAGTTTACCGACGCATGGCACTTGCAGAGAAAAAACCGCGTGTCATCGGACCTATTTACTTTGAGCGTTTACCAGACTTGAACCGTCTGACGGAACATTTAAGCGCCAGCTGAAAGACCTTCTATTGAAAAATCCTTTATACTCTGTGAATGAATTTATGGATTTAAAATTGTAACGATATTGAGTATTTTCTATTTTATTCTAATTTTTACCGCATTGACATACTCTTGTATAATTGTTATCAACTTATGACGATCCTTGATGGAGAATGATATTTGATATGTAATTTAGTGACAACAATAATAAATAATGAATTGTTAATTTTCTAATTATTGTGTATTTTTCTTATAATTTTGCTTTTTGTCTGACGATCTCAATATAATTTCTTATACTTTGACATGTAGTGCAATTTATACTGTAATGGTATGTTTGAGAAATAAATTAATCGGAATCTAACATTTTATTTTCGTTGGAGTTATAAAGTCATAACTTATAACTTTCTCTTCGTCGTCATGTCTATGGGCCTAGTTTTTAACCGAGCTCAAAAAGGAGGTTTTCAACACGCCTGTATTTTTTCCGGAATCGCGCACTTATTGTTAAGAGGGAGCAGAGGAAAAATTCCTAATCTTCGATTTGATTTTAGAGGGGTATATCCACTTTAAAGTTAAAAATAAAATATTGTATGAGTAACTACTTGATATATTCAAGCATAGACATTAATCAGAAACATAAAATAATAAAGTTTCCTCGATAGATAAAAATCACGAAATGACCTCTAATTTGCACATTTTTTCGATTTACCTTCGAAATGCTACAGGTTATTAGGACAAAAATTAGATAATTACTTATATTTATGCATGATCGACAACAGCTGTCACTACGGATTTTTTTTAATCCCTTTAGTTTTACAGTTCGAATCGAAGGAATTTTTTCTGAGTGATCTTTGTATTAATAATTATAACAAACTAGTGGAGTAATTTCACAAAAATAATTAAGTATCAATTCAATAAAAATTAAAAATAGTTTCTTTTCATATTTTTAATACCCACTAACTTCTGTAATCAATCCCTTTACCATAAAGAAAACTTCGTGTGGTGCACCAATTTACAAACACTTTTTTGCCAGCACATCAAGCTACACATTGACGTATCTTGTTCCGTTGCGCTGGAGGCGATTTTCGAACAAAAATGTGTAGTCCTGATGTGCCGTTGTCCGTACAATAGATTAATGTTTGGCCATGACTGTCCAAATGTTGTGACCGCCATGGTTTACGCTTTTGTTGACTAAATGCTTATTCACTTTAACCTTGAATATCACTAAATTGTAACTCTCGGAAAATTCAAATGTAGATGAAATGGAACTGGACGTTTTAATTGCGCCTTCCCCTTTAGAACGGCGGGGGAATAGAGGTAGGGTGGGTTTTCACCCTTATGTTGTGGATATTAAAGGAATTCATATGAATCGTTACGCTTCCACGTTTATATGGCGAACGGCTATGGAACGGAATTTTCTGGCTGCAGACTTACTCCGTGAACACTGTACCTTGGGCGTTTTCAAGAGTAAATAGCTACTATTTATGTGCATGCTCCATCGTTACTTGCCATCAGGTGAGGTGGAGGTCAAATGTATAATGGTTTTAACCAAATATGACTTAGGAAATGAAACTATTTTTCCGGATTTAAATTGCCTATATTTGTTTTTTCAAACAAACCGACATTACTTTTACAGTGTTTCCTATGGTCACGCTTGGTCACAGTCAACCGTGACCATGGGACCTGTAAAGGGCCCGAAACTTAGGTTTGTTTGAAACAACAAATATACGCGATTTAAATACGGAAAAATAGTTCCATTTCCTATGTTTAACAATCGCGAAGACCTAAGAACTCGACAAATATGACTTTTTACGTCTTTTGAGGGTACTGCGTTCTGTACACAGAACTATAATGAGTTTTTATTTATTTATTGAGGTTCATCGGCAATTGTGACATCGATACACGTACGTTTTACAATGATAAGGGTGTTTAGGTAGATGCACAACTATTTAAAGATGAAAGACAGCTTGCATTAAATTGAGCAGAACAGTCTTAATATAACAGTGTACTATACAAAGAAAAAAGAACAAACTGAATATGACGATAAAATATGACAATCAGATAAAAAAATATACATCCTAAATGTAAATGTAATATAAATTTTTGCAATTAATGCTACGAATACTGCCAGTGTACTTGTTAAGGATTGCCTCGCGGAGACCGGTTATCGAGTCCGAGAAAATATGTACTGTTGCATTATAGTCATTGTGTACTCTGGACAGACGGCTGGCCGGTGAGTTGAGACCCAATTTCGTTCTCCTGCGTAGTGGTGACAGAAAAGCAACTATATTTTTACTTCGATGGGGAACCATTGACTTACAAATAAATGGACGACGGGTCTAATACAAAAACCACGAAAAAAATGTCCCAAGTCAACCTATTTAAACGTAGTGACATGTAAAGGAATATGAAAAAGCTAAAACGTTGAATTTAAATTGTAATGTCATCGCAGTACTGTCTAATTTTGCTTGCTTCGCTGTCAGTCGAACAAACGAAGACGATTTTAACGCCCTATAAGTTCGGACACTTTTTAGCGCGGACCCGACGTCCATATAATTGTAAGTCAATGTGGGGAACGCTTAGTTTGAACATTGATGTCAGTTGTCAATCCTGTTAGTGAATAACTTGTGAAGGAAGGCTAGGTCCAATAGATCTTTGCGCTTTTCAAGTGAGATCATTTTGAAATTTTTTAATGTCATTTTATAAGAGCGTATTTTTTTGGCTGCACCGGCCGCGAAACTCAAGTAATTTACGAAACTATTCTGTACCCTTTCTAGCCTAAGTGTGTGAGTTGCGTAATGTGGACGCCACACTTTATATCCATACTCCAAAGTACTACGAACAAAATATACAATAAATGTAATCTAAAAACGTATATAAAAAAATCTAAAAAAAAATATATAAAAAAGTAAAAGTAATCTTACATAATATATAATATTATATAAGATTACTTTTGTCACTGCAATCTTAAAATTTTTGCTGTTGCGGAGTACAAAACCGAGAGTCTTTGTCGCCTTGTCAAAAAAAGAACGTCGTTTTTTTGCTAATTAATAATAATAATAAGAATAACGCACACACTCAACAGAGCTTCGGACTAGGGAAAACCTTGTGTCGCGGGTGCCATGGACACACACATAGACAACCACAAATTACACCCAAACTCACGAGAGAAATAAATGTAGGTCATATAAATATTTCTCCCGGCCCGGGAATCGACCCTGAGACCTCTGCGTGGCAGTCCGACACGGTAAACGTTCGGCCACGGAGGCAGTTGATAATTACATATCAATTAGAACGCTGCTGCTCAAACGCTATAGTGCCTGCTGATGGGTTAAATGGGCCTAAAATCTTGCAACCAGAATAAAATAAAAAAAGAAAATAATTATTTATAAAAATAATGTTTAAATTCACCTTTAATTCCTCTTATACGTTCCGAGGGCAGTATTACTTTTTCCCATGGTTGGTATAGGTTATAAATGCAATGTTACATTGTACATAACTTTTGCACATTGTCGTAAAAAATAATGAATTATTGAATAAAATGTTTTTCCTTGTATTTTTCACAAATAAACATTGGTTTGGTGTTATTTTTACATTAAGTTAATTTAATTTTTTTAGGCAATCCCTCACTTTTTTATGTACATGACAGACATTTTATTCAATTGCCGCTAATCTTAGCTTTCCGAAAAAATATTTTTTATGTTCGTACTGCTTTTACTTCTCATAATATGATAATTTTAGAACAAACGTTTAGTAAACTAAGTATAAAAAAATCAAAATGGCTGCCATTCCTAGGGAGTTGAGTTTTTGATCCCACATGTATTAGTGTTTTTCACATAATATTGAATACTAAACACCCCCTTAAAGTTACACAAATTACACCCAAACTCACGAGAGAAATAATAGGCCATACAAATATTTCTCTCGGCCCGGGAATCGAACCCGAGACCTCTGCGTGACAGTCCAGCATGGTAACCGTTCGGCCACGAAGGCAGTTATATGCCGCGTAAACGTGTGTCTTGTGTTAGACTGGCAGGGCACTGAAAGGGCACGCACTGTACAAATACAGTGCGTGCCCTAACACACTGTATATGACCTCACATAATTCACAGGGATCGTCATAGATTATTTTTAGTATAGTAAAAATTACTATTTCGGAAGAAGGTTTTTTACATCTCACCTTCAGAAATAATACATATCGCATTCCTTTCACAGATGTACAAGTTTTTCCTTCTATCACTACTCGCCGTGGCAGCGGGTCAAGGCAACAGCGGCGACCTAGAATCAGTAATAAACCAAATATTTGGTACGCCACCACCGGCAACCGGTAACACCGGTAGCGGCACTAACCCTGGTAACGTCGTCGGTGGGAATCTTGGTAACAATAATGGACAGATATCGGGACCGTCCACTATTGTACCGCCGGGAATAAGTGATGGTAAGTAAAATATCTGGCAATTTATTTATTGTGAAAGAATTCGTCCACGAAAGTACTGTTATCTTACCTATTTCTGCCCACATTACTGTGTTCCGGTAAGGGTGCTGGTGAAATTACAGGCACATGGGACTTGTCAACTTATGTCTCAGATCTTTGTAATTTAAAGTTATCAGTGGCACCACAACTGTTATGGCCGTCAGCTAAGTTTATTGTACTCAATTTTGGTGACAATTGTTATTATTTAATTACTCGAATATATCATCGTGAAATATTAAAGAATATTTCAGGTTACCACACTCGAATATTAAATTTTAATAATACTTCATGATGATATTCTATAAATATTTAAATAAAAAGAAGTTGTCATCAAAATTGAGTACAAAAAACTTACCTGAAAATTACACATGGACAGGCGTGCCTATATAGGACAACTGTTATTACGGTAGTAAAATCGTCATAATTTTCAAGAATTATAACTTTTTCAAAATAAAAACACCGACTTCAGAAGTTTACTTATCCATTTTCGCTGTTTTATTTTTAACCGACTTCAAAAAAAGATTCTCACATATTTTATACACACATATTTTCTTGTAATTTAATGGCACTGCTAGTGAGGTAGGTTTTCAACAAAAAGAGAATGGAATAGAATAAGTTTTATTGAACACAAAATAAACCATTGACAATACAAAAAATAAAAACAAAGCTAAAGGTGCGATCGGCGGCCTTATCGCTAGACAGCGATCTCTTCCAGGCAAACTTACAAATTATTACGGAGTTTTCGGTGAAGGGCAGTTAATGGCGCACAAAGTAGCTAAACGATGTATAAATTGAATCGAATACATTTTTAAACAAACTTCACAAAAACGTACTACTATCGAGTATATAACCAGAAATAGAGACGAAATAAGGCCCTGGCAACTCATCAGGCAAATGGGCCTTATATCATTTTTAAATATCAACTCTTGTTTGCGCTGAAATCACAAATTTGAAAACTGGAATAGTGCAGTGCCAACAACTGACCTGTATGTACGTCCCCGAATATTCCAAAAATATTCTGTATTTGTTGTAATAAAGATAATATCTCTAACTATGGGGGGCTGTTCCATTCGGTGGTGTGGGAAAAACAGCAAAACATCTAATTAAAACGGAATCACATTTCATCGGTAATTAAATATTGACGACACCCGTCAATTGTTTCGAATTCGGGCTGGCCAATCGGAACGCAGTTGTCACCGTAATGATTTGGCAGAATAGTTTTTAAACAAATTAAATGACATTTCGTCTCAATTTCTGGTTATATTGGAATGTAATATTAACTAATTAGTTGTACTTATCATTTTAAAGTTCTTATTTGCATGCCTAGGATATTTTCTGGCAAAACATGTATGTTCCTAATCCACTATTCGTTATATTGACCACTCTGTTTCTAGCAAATAAATGATCTGATCGATTTTATATACTTGATGCGTACTACATATATATTATAACATACATGCACATTGCCGCATTCCAAATATACAATTATATACATACTATATTGTATACACAAACACAGTATACAGAATGTGTATAATAAGTATATATAAAAAGTAAAAAAATATTAATATTTAACGTGTTAGGACAAAACTTGTCTGAACGTCTGATGATGTATTTGAATGTTTTTATTTATATAACATCAACCGACGGGACGAACTAGTCGTGCGCCTGATGGTAATGATGGTAAGCTACAAGGACAGGCCTTAACAGTTACAATGCCAGCCAGAACTTTAAATTACAAAGAGCTAAGGGCCACTGCGGCCGTCACCCTGAGACTAAGTTGATAAGATCACCAGCATCTATTGCCCTTTAAAACTGGAACACAGTAATGCAGACATTACTGCTTGGCGGCAGAAATAGGTAAGGTGGCAGTACTTCCCTGGACGAAATCTTTCACAAGGAGTCCTACTGCTAGTAAAAATCTATGTGTATCTATCACTGTATTTATTTACACACATATCATAAACCCTCTATGATGTGTTCAAAAACCGTAAATTATGACCAGCATAAAGATAAACTGTTTTGTTAGAACAAACTTACTTGTAAGTGAAAATGTTATTATTGCTTCATATTAACACCAAATTCGATTTTAGTATTACATTCAAATCTCCAACATCTCTGGAAAACAAAACAATTTGATTCGACCTCAATTCTAATATCAGTCGAGATGAAGTTTTATTCGAAACGAAATGTCAATAGCAATCAATTTTGACAAATCTCATACGTTACTTGATATCGAACGATGTAATAGTTGGGGCCGACTCTAGTTTGTCTATGAATTTAAAAAAACTACGGTTGCGTGACATGCTTGATAAATAAGTTTTTTCATTATTTTACTAATAATTACTGCTAATAGCTCTGATCAATTCCGCAATGCCGGTCGAAACATGCGGTTCCTGACCACATCACAGAGAGCTTATAATATGTGTGTAGATAAAGCAGTATATGTAACTGTACATAATTGGGCATTAAAACACTCGTGTGATGTTTTGACTGGACGTTTGACTCGCCTGCTGGCTTATTTCATAAACCCACAACCGTGTTTTAATGCCTTTAATTCATTATGTAACAATCACATAAACTACTATTTCGTTATCGCCCTTCTCATTAGCACTCATTGTCGCGACCAAAACAAAAAAAAGACGAAAAAACAATAGAATACCAAAACACTTTAGTTTAAATGTCACCGCCATTTTCTTTTTTTTTTAAGTAGGCAAGCGGTACAAGTAGGTATTCTTAATTCTCGCAATTAAGAACACTCGGCAGTTGGCTGTATGAGTTTTTATTTTGCCTGCTTAGAATAATAACGCATAGAAACCTAGTCCGCACACGCTAAGTGAGGCAAATTGAAGCGCGCCAAAAGGGCCTACACGAGCGGGCGGGCCTTCAGTGCTCAAGGTCAACTTGCACCGCGAACAGATCAAGAATTTTAGCTAAAAATGACGAATTGTGCGGTAAATGAGTGTAAAAATACGTCAGACAAACATAAAATAGATACTAACATCACATTCCACAAGGAAGTAACGCGTTTCAACTTGTACTTTTATATAAATATTCACTGAAACCGAAAATTAACCTACTACTAAAACTAGCCTACATGAATTTGATTTTTGCCTCACTTGTGACAGTTCGTTTGATATGAAACTATCATTCTATGCGTTATTATTCTAAGTTTGCCTGTTTACGTAGTTCATTATTAGTAGGTAGATTTAAAAGTTTAGAGAAGTGGACAGTTTTTTGAAAGTTATGCAAATATTTCCGAGCATGTTTGAGAAAATATTATTCGTAAAGAAATTGAAATGTAAAATATGATGATAATGTCAATGTGCGAATGATAATAATGTCAGATAACCACGCAAATTGCCTGATTTCAAACAAGAGAATCCCATATGAAGGCAGTAATACATAGGCAGTAGATAATGTGTCATGTCTCTTTTCGACTCAGTAAGTAACACTGTTCTTTCATCTATCCAGTGACGAACGACACCTCCTGCATGACAGAGAATAACGAAGTAGGCGAATGCGTGCGCTACTACCTTTGTAATAACAACACTATCATCGAAGATGGGGTCGGCATCATCGATATTCGGTAAGTTACTTTGTGGGCTTCTTCTCTAATTGACAATAGCTACTTTTATTTACATAAATATATTTTTCACCTCACTAGCCCGGAAAGGCTTCCTTTTCCTTTCCTCCCGGAAAGCGTATTTGAAATTCGAACTTGACGATGGACTGTGGTGCACCTAACTTTTTCTTTCGATGAACAAAAAACATAATAACACGTTCAAGTAAGCGATTTGTCTTACATTAATTATGTAATATAAATCCGTTGGTATATATTTTTTTCTTGTTGTTGTTGACAACGGTACCTAATTTGGTTTTTTATAGTTCAACTGTTTTTCTTTCATCTACCATTTTCCACGCTATAGTGAAGTGAAAAGTTGTGCGTTTCGCTCGGCAGCAAAGTTGTTTTGCGTCTCGTGGTTTGAAACCCTCGCTACGCTCAGAATTCTATCTATAATCTTAGAATCCTTCGCTTGCTGAGGTTTAATAAAGCACTTGCGTCAAACAACAACTTTCCATCCTCGCAAAATAAATAACTTCACTTCTATTTTTATTTTTAACAACGTCGTTTCCCTATTTAAATTCAATTATTTAAACCAGCTCATTCGAAAATGCTTAAGCGTCAATCGTGGTATAACGTCATGACTACGCGAAAAAAAAATCGATAATAAACACCAATTTCAATTTGCTTGTTTCACACACACACTGGTAGCACCGCACTAGGGAAACCCTGTATCGCGGGTGCCATGGACACACACAGGTAGACAACCACAAACTACACCAAAACTCAAGAGAGAAATAAATGTAGGCCATTCAAATATTTTGTGGGGATGGAGAACTAGAAAGTCGGGGTGGAAAGAAACTGTGAGTGTTAGGACGTGGTAGAGTGAGCAATGTAAGTGTAGTGTGATGGTGAAGATAGAGGAAGAAGGAGACAGAGACTTCATCCGGCACGAAGACTGGCCCTCCTCCAGTCTAGATTTGAATCCGTTAGATTACAAAATATGGCAACACTTGGAGGAAAAGGCGTGCTCAAAGCCTCATCCCAATTTGGAGTCACTCAAGACATCCTTGATTAAGGCAGCCGCCGACATTGACATGGACCTCGTTCGTGCTGCGATAGACAACTGGCCGCGCAGATTGAAAGCCTGTATTCAAAATCACGGAGGTCATTTTGAATAAACTTTAGTGTCATAAGAATCTATGTTTTGTTAAGTTCATTTTGGTATATAAATGGTTACATAATGAATAAACTTGTTTCAATTATTTTATATTAAACATGTGACAGAATTTATGACTTGACTAGGTATATCTTATCGGTCAAACAATGTATCATATATTTATATAATTTAAATCTAATCAAATAAGGTTACATATCTGTCAATCAATGTCAACATATAAAAATATTAAATACGAAATAAATATGTTTATAAAGTGAAATTTATGAAATACTACTTAATTAGTATTGGTAAAACGAATAGCGAAATTCGTAGATACTATCAGTACGATAGAATAAGACAAAGTCGGGAGATCAGACATGAAAAGTGAGTAAATTGTCAAAGAGCGAGAGATAGTTTACAATAGCAGTTTAGACACTCATTTTATAATACATATTAGTTGAAACTCTTTCAGGAATCAGGAAAAGTAAGGGCGTTTCCTAGAAAACGTATAATGAGAGAAATGAAGATGATAGGGGTCCGTAGTTTCAAACTTCAAATATCCCGGAATATCTGAATCTACACGAATTGCAATTGTCGGCGACGTGTGGCGCAATCTGGTGTCAGGTAAGCGGCTGCGGAATCGCCGATATATGACACCCTTCGGCCAAAACTCCTCCTTCATGATGGTCGACAGATGTTCGGTCGGTACCACAAACGAATTAAAATTCCGGTTGTGGTAGGACTTTAACCGCTCGACCCTCGGGAATATATTTGGCTTTTAGTCTGATGTACTCCACTATCTCCTCAGACTTCGTGGTGTAACGTATGGCCGGTATGGTCGGTATGGCCTGACGCAGCAGAAAGTTCGACCCTGTCGGTTTTTGGTTGGGATAATTAGATAACACAATTTATGGAAATTTAGATACGAGAGATGTTTTTACATTTAATAAATATTTAACACTAAGTTGGAATAATGAACGAAAAAATCTCTAAGATGCACGCATCCAAAGCCGTACAAAATGTAGACACTTTTAATAATAATAACGCAACACACTCATAGCGCCGCACTAGGGAAACCCTGTGTCGCGGGTGCCATGGACACACACATAGACAACCACAAGTGACACCCAAACTCGCGAGAGAAATAAATGTAGGCAATACACATACTTCTCCCGGCCTGGGAATCGAACCCAGGACCTCTGCGTGTTAGTCCGGCATGGTAACCGTTCGGCTACGGAGGCAGTTAAAAGTTAGTTACCACTTGAATACTTTTTGATTTCGTTTTTATGTCCACGTTTTCATTGGTATACATTGTTTCAGTGATAAACTACGTTAAGACATCTCCGAGAAATGACCGTGTATTATTACATTGTTGATGAAATTGTATGTGTATGAAATTGTTCATCGACAAAATATCATTAGTATTAGTTAAGGCGAAGACACTTTGTTTATGTGTTCATAGTGTAATTAATACTGACATTGAACAGAAATAGAGACGAAATGTCATTTAATTTGTTTGGCCAGCCCGCATTCGAAACAATTGACAGGTGTCATCAATTGTTTCGCTTCAAATCGACCAGTTTAACTTGAGCTTCGCTATAATGGACGAAAATTGCAAAATTACATATTTAATATTTAATTACAGATGGAATGTGATTCCGTTTGTTTTATAATTAGATGTTTTGCTGTTTTTCCCCACATCGCCGAATGAAACAGGACGCCAATGTTAGAGATATTATCTTTATTACAATAAATACTACTAATATACTCGCTTCGCTCGTGATTCAAATATAGATTCCTAAGCGTAGCGAGGATTTCAAGGCACGAGACCCAAAACAACTTTTGCTGCCGAGGGAAACACACAAGTTTTCACCTCACTATAGCGAGGGAAATGGTAGATGAAAGAAAAACAGTTGAACTAAAAAACCTTTTTTAATGAAAAGAAAAAGTTTATCTTCGGATGCGTTCTGAATTTACACCTCATCAATTTCACATTTCAAAATAAACTTAAATGCTATGGAATACACTTTGAATTAAATTTGTGTGGATTCTGGAGCCGTGTCGTCTTTCCATACATCTTTATCTAACACGTAGTCTTCAATTTTGTAATATGATTTTTCGATCAAAATATTTTTAATGTAGTTTTTAAACTTAGGAAACGATAAACTTAATATATGCTCCGGAATCTTATTGTAAAAACGTATACAGTTCCCCATAAAAGAGTTGTTTATCTTGGTAAACGAAATCGTGGTACCATGAGTTTGGACTTAGCTCTAAGGTTAATATTATGGATATCTTCTTTGTTATTGAAATTATGTATATTTTTACGGGCATGTAAAATATTTGAGTAAATGTACTGTGATGCCACAGTCATGATACCAGTCTCTTTAAACTTTTCTCTGAGAAAAACCCGAGAGCCTAGACGGTACACAGAACGAATCGCTCGTTTTTGCAATCCAAATATGGTTTGAATATCTGCCGCTTTACCCTACATGAGAATCCCGTAGGACATTATAATATGGAAGTAACTAAAGTAGACTAGTCTAGCAGTACTAACATCAGTAAGCTCACGTATTCTACGAACTGCGTATGCAGCGGAGCTTAATCTGCTGGCCAGGGAAAATATATGTGGAAACCATTAAAGTTTACTATCTAAGGTCACTCCTAAGAAAACTGCTTTATTAACAAGGTCTAACTTTTCTCCGTTTATTTCTATGCTTGGGCTAGTCGATTTCACATTAGGTAATTCAAATTTAACACATTTTGTCTTCTTGGCATTAAGCAATAAATTGTTAGCATTAAACCAATAAACTACCTTAGAGAGTATATCATTAATATGGTCATAGTTAATATCATGTCTGTCTGTTTTAAAAATCAAGGATGTGTCATCAGCAAACAACACTATTTCGCAATGGTCCTTAACAAAGAATGGCAGATCATTAATATAAATCAGAAATAAGAAAGGTCCAAGTATTGAGCCCTGCGGAACACCCATTTTTACCGGAGAACCCAAAGAAGTGGTGTGACTTCTTGTCTGATTTATGTCTACTTTCTGAATTCTACTGTTGAGATATGACGAGACAAGTTTCGACGCCTTGCCATTTACACCGTAATGTTCCAGCTTCCTAATAAGAGTAATATGATCAACGCAATCAAATGCCTTTGAGAGGTCACAGAAAACACCAATAGCGTTCTGGGACCTTTCCCAAGCATCAAAGATGTGTTTTAGTAACGCTACCCCCGCATCGCTAGTCGATCTACCACTAGTAAACCCGTATTGTTCACTATGAAAAATATGATTCCTACCGAAATAGGACAGTAATAGAACAGTACGGCATTGTTAGAGTGTGTCTTTATTACAATAAATACAGAATATTTTTTGGAATATACGGAGACGTACACACAGGTCAGTAGTTGGTCTGACTATATTTTCGTGCAAACGAGAGTTTATATTTATAAGAGCTGTATCGCTAATGTGTTACCAGGAATAGATGGCGCTTATTTCGTCTCTATTTCTGGTTATATACTCGATGCCTAATTCATGTCTCTAATTCATTTAAGGGGCAATGTATACGCTTCTATAATAAGATTCCGATTGAAATTCAAAGTTTACCTACGATTAAATTTATTTACGACTAAAACTATTGTGAAACAAAAATTTTATACTAAAGGTTACAACTTCTGCGTACTTGGATGACAAAAATCCGTGGTAGTGACCCCGTTTAGCTCTTTCAGATATTCTCGAGCTAAGATGTTTGAATTAAATATTGTAACGGTAAATGTATTCAAATGTATATTTACAAAGAGCAACCCCTAGAGTTTCTTGCTCATTCTTATCAGGGGAATCTGCCTTACGAATGAGCAGTACAGTTTAATCAGTGTGACGATTTCTAGTGTAATTTGCTTACCTGTAAAATAAAGATACTTTGGCTTTCAGAAAGAAAGCCTTTCCGAGTTAGTGAGGAGAAAAATCATTTTTCCGCTTCTGTTCTTTGTTATAATTAAAAGAATTCTTTTTTTTACTAGCCGTTTTCAAATCTTTCTCATATGATTCATCATATATGATGATTGAGAAGACCTAATCCATTTAATTTTTTTTTCATTTGCTTCCAGCTAGCTTTAGAAATAACGTGTTTTTTTTTCATCTGCAGAGGTCTCGATGGCCCGTGTCACTCGTACTTGGACTCCTGCTGCCTTTTGGGCAACACACGCCCAATTGAAGACCCAATCACGCCGAAACCCGTCACGATTCCCGACACCAACGACAATAAGGGTGATGACCAGGTAAATTGCTTATTATTGTTGACATTAAATTGACAACAATAACTAATTTTGTTTGTTATAGCTCAACTACATCGAGTATATAACCAGAAATAGAGACAGAGACGACAGAGAAATGTCATTTAATTTGTTTGAAAACTATTCTGATTACTGTGACGACTGCGCTCCGATTGGCCAGCCCGAATTCGAAACAATTGACGGGTGTCATCAATGGGTGTCGTCAATTGTTTTACTACAAATCGGCCAGTTAACTTGAGCTTTGCTATAATGGATGAAAATTGAGAAATTACATATTTAATATTTAATTACTGATGAAATTCTGATTCCGTTTATTTTATAATTAGATATTTTGCTGTTTTTCCCCCACACCAACGCATGAAAATGAAACAGGACGCCATTGTCACAGTAACAATTAGAGATATTATCTTTATTACAATAAATACAGAATATTTTTGGAATATACGGAGACGTATACACAGGTCAGTTGTTGACGCTGTCTATATGTCAGTCTATAAGTGATGTATCACTGATGAGTTACCAGGAATGTATGGCCCTTATTTCGTCTCTATTTCCGGTTACATACTCGAAGTTCAACTATAAAACCCGCGACACAGGGTTTTCCTAGTGCAGAGCTATGAGTACGTACGTAGTGTACGATATTTATTTATAATTGTTTTTCTTTCATCTACCATTTTCCTCGCTATAGTGAAGTGAAAAGTTATGTATTTCGCTCGGCAGCAAAGTTGTTTTGCGTCTCGCGGCTTGAAACCCTCGCTACCCTCCGGATTTTATTTTTGAACCACGAGGGAAGCGAGTGGTTTTTAAACTCCTTCGCTTGCTCAGGTTTAACAAATAACTATTTTAAACTCACGACGTAAAGAGAGAGGAGTTACTTTTTTGAAGCCTGTGTTCATGTGGCATCGTAGCTTTCAAACGGCTGGACTGGCCTTGTGAGTCTATACAACCTCAAATGGCTTTAGTTAATAATAATAATAATAAAGAACTTTATTTATCTACATTTACAAAACAGTTTAGTCGTAAATAACATCACTTATAGATACTGTGTAGATAAAAAGGATAGAGTCTCAGCTTAAGCTGTTTTTCAGACACTACCTTTTTGAAACTCGCTACATTTTAATCATAGTATTTGTTTGACGCGTCTCGAGTAGCTCCAAAAGATATCACAAAATAATAAACTCAAAAGTACGCGGAATTACTTCTATTTGCTAAGTTTTATTGAAATATCCTTAAATTCGCCACTATAAAGGACTTGACACTGGAGATAATAAAAATCGGTTCTCACTACTCAAAGTATATTGAGAGAAAAACGCCTTGAATTGGAGAAATAGCAAAATAAACCATTAAAATAATTGCTCCTTAAGTAAAATTTAGGCGCTATTTATAAAAATGAATCTTCATGCGTGAACAGCCATCCTTAGAGGTAGATGATTTTCTTCAAAATTAAATGGGACCACTATGGAATTCCCCCCTCTCCAACAAAAAAGAATCATGAAAATCGGTTCACCAATACCGGAGTTATCGCGTAACATACATATAAAAAAAACCAAAAAATAAAATATAGTCGACTTGAGAACCTTTTTTAAAAATTTTTTTGAAGTCGGTTAAAAACTAAATTCTGGAATAAAGCCAGTGTCCCTGCCGTTCGATCTGCACAATAGAACCGTTTCAGTATGGGAATAATTTAGATTCGACCTGAGCTGAATCGACAGTATATATATATGTATATAGAGAGAGTAGAAGACATGCATGTAAACTGGAAATGTCACATACAAAAAATTAAGAAGAAGTTATCTAACTTTTCGTACGCATTAATGGAGATAAACAAATCGACTGACCTGATAACTGCAATGGCCGCTTAATATGCATACACCATCGAATATATAACCAGAAATAGAGACGAAATAAGGGCCATATATTTCTGGTAACACATTAGCGATACAGCTCTTATAAATATCAACTCTCGTTTGCACTGAGATATAGACAGGCCAACTACTGACCTGTGTGTACGTATACGTATATTCCAAAAAATATTCTGTATTTATTGTAATAAAGATAATATGTTCAACAACACCGCGTTGTCCTATTCGGTGGTGTAGGAAAAACAGCAAGGCATCTAATTACAAAAGAAACGGAATCACATTTCATCAGTAATTAAATATTAAATATGTAATTTTGCAATTTTCGTCCATTATAGCAAAGCTCAAGTTAACTTGTCGATTTGAAGTGAAACAGTTGACGACACCCGTCAATTGTTTCGAACTCGGGCTATCCAATCGGAGCGCAGTTGTCACAGTAATGATAAGGCAGAATAGTTTTCAAACAAATTAAATGACATGTCGTCTCTATTTCTGGTTATACACTCGATGGCATACACTCATCGAACTCATCGAGCTCAAGTCCCCACTCGATGTTGGTAAAGATATTCAACGATCTCCCGCCAATCATTAAGAACGAGAAAAAGTATTCTTTCTTTCTTAATACATTAAAATTATACCTAATTAATAATATGTTACTAGAATTTAAGTGAATACTTTAATGACAAAATATAATAATAAAAAAAAAATATAAATAATAAACAAGTCTTGAATATATTATATTATATTATATTATATTATATTATATTATATTATATTA